CCCTCCCCAGCTCCCAGCCAGACTTCCTCCTCTCGGAGCCTGGGTGCCTCCCACTCACTCTGCCCACACTTGGTGTCCAAAGGCTTCTCCCCAAACCTCCCAATCAGCTAGTCCTCCCTCCAGTGTCCTGTAGGGATAGGTTGGGAGGTAGAGAAAGGGCTGCATGTGGGCCTGGCAAAGGTCACATTTACTCCGCTAACCGCTTCTGTCCAGGCGAGAAGAAACGCAGGTGCCTACAGCAAGGAAGAGGGAAGCTCAAGGAGAGAGGCCTTCCTGATGGCGAGAGGAGGTGGGAAACACTCGGTGTCTTGGGAAGGTGGCGGCCCCTGCCCCTGCGAAGGCCCCTCTCAGCCCCCTGGCCCTGGGCAGGCCGGGACTCACCCCTGGAAGCGTCTTCTGTTCGTGCAGGGCGCTCTGGGCCTTCAGGGCTGAATCGCGGGCACAGTATGTCAGGAAGGCACATCCTGAGGAGGGGCAGGGGCAGAGAGACCAGTGGGGGTGAGTCCGGGGTCTCCCCTCCCTTAGAGCCCCCCCGCCAGGAGCATGAGGTCCGGGAAGCTGGTTCCTTCTTGCCACTTCCTGCCTGCTGGGGCGGGGGAGACATTCTGCCCAGGGCATCTCTGGGCTGATGAGCCTGGAACTGAGACCCAGAGGCCAGGAGGCTTCAGTGGGGGAGGTGATGGGAGCAGGAGAGGCCGGGGGCTGCTGGGAGGTGGGGCTTTCTGGGGGGCGGGGAGGGGAGAAGGGGCATGTGATTGCCAGACAAGTGCGTGTAGTGTGGTTCCCTCGCTTCCTCAGCTGATCTCCTTCCCTCTACCTCCCTCCATCTTGGTCATCATCACCCCTCTCCTCTCCCATTTTCCCTGTTTCCTCATCTCTCTCCATCTCTCTGGGAGGGAGATGGGAAGTGGAGAGTGGGCTAGAGGAGAAGGGAAAGTCAGAGCATCAGCGGGAGTCCCTGTGGAGGGGCAGGCAGTGTGGTCCTTAGGACTCCAGCGGCCGGAGCCCTCCAAGTGCTGCCCCTGGGCCGGACCCCGCTCAGCCGCACAGGCCTGAGGCGCACCCTCCCGTCGCCCCCAGCTCTTAACTTTCCAGTCCCACACACTTCCCAGATCGGCACCAACCTCGGTCCTTCATACCCTGCTCCCAGGCCCCCTCCTTAGTCCTGGAACTGCCCTGCCTAGTCCACGTCTACTCTTTCCAGGTTGAGCTCCTGACCCTGTGTCCTGACCTCCATCCCAATAGTAGTTTGGCTACTAAGACTCAGTACACACCCTCAGTACACACATGCACGCGTGCGCGCACACACACTGCCCAGCTCCTTACCTCCCAAACCAGCTCTCTCATCCCTCCACCGTTCCTCGCGTTCATCCACGACATCACCTCCTCGTCCCTGGGACCCACATCTCTGCAGCCCCCTTGACGACTCTTTCTCTAAGGAGGCCCTCCCTAGTCCTCGTCCGGGCCCCCTGGCCACCCTCGCTGAGTCCTCTTCTAACTCCTTCATCACACGCCCCAGCCCAGAAACTCTTTTCGTTCCAGATCGGGCCTCTCCGGCCACTCCATCCCTCGGCCCCCTTCCACCCTCCTCCCAGCCCCCCAGCCCACTCCGGCCTGGCCCGACCCCTCACCCTTGTGCAGCCCCGTGTACTTGTCCTTGATGACAGTCAGCTCGAAGATCCGACCAAACTGTTCGAAGATGGGCTTCAGGTCCTTTTCCTCCAGATGCCTCGGGATCTGCCCCACAAACAGCTTGATGGCATCCGGCTCCTTCATTGGGGCGGCCCGGGAGGAGGGGCCGGGGGGAGCAGGGAGAGGCCTGGAGGCCAGGGGAGCTGCCCAGCGAGAAGGCAAGCGGTGGGGGCCAGGGGGCAAGTGGTGGGCGCTGGCTTCCCCTTGGGCCCCTAACCAAGGTGCTGAGCGGAGGGGCAGCTCGTCACACAAAGGAGGCCGGGGAGTTGAGGGCTAGGGGTCAAGGGTCTAGGCAGGCACTGTCATGCCACCAGGGGGCATAGCCCAAACAAACGGTCTCCTCCCAGAGATTTGGCAAAAATCCCAGGATGGGGGTCAGGATGGCCAAGACCTGGAGGGTAGGGTGGTCCCAGGGGCCCTGGGAACCGGGGGCTGAGATGAGAGCTGGGGAACGGCGGGAGGAGGGCAAGGGGATGGAGGCTGGGGGGTTAGGGGCCTGATGTGGGCGCCAGCACGGCCTGGGGGGGGGTGGTGGTGAGGGGGTCAGGGGGGCTCCTAAGGTGGGGCAGGTGGGGCTCCTGTTGGCTTCCCTGAGAGGACACCTCCCCTGTGGCTGATCCTCCTGCTGGGTCCGCAGATCCCCGATGCCCGACGCTTGATCTCTGATGGCGGCAGGGCTCAGGGAGTACCCTCCTGCCC